GACTGGCAAAATGCCCCCACGCTGCCACACGGACCTGGTTATTTGCTGGCCAGCTTTCCAAGTGGAGGAAACTCATAAAACTACATCTGTGCCCCATTTTGGCAACATTGTTCCCTTTACTAACTAAAGCGGGGGAAAGAGCCCCACCCAGAAAAACTGCCTTCTGCTGCCTCCTCTCAGCAGTGCAGAGGAGACCTGTACTAAGCTGGTAAGCCAGGTCCAACTCTGAAAGTGAGATTTCAGAAAGGACCTATGAAGAGGTAGTTGCTCCGCATCTCATGTTCTAAAAAGGAATGTCCAGATTTTTTCCTGGTCCACTTGTACATCTGACCTTTCCTTCATCCTGAGCTAGGACAGCTGATGAAAACCAGTGCAGCTACTGCTTATGTGGAAAAGCTCCCTTGGAAGGTGTCATGTATTTACCTGTCTCTTTAGACAGCTGAAAATCAGAAGTAATGTCACTAACAACAAATCTGCTAAGTGGTTTGAGCAACAGCAGATTTGAACGTGTTAACCTGAGTGTTTGTACTCATAGTACAGACTGTAGCTAAGTTGACTCATAATTACTTCCTAAAAATGGAATATCCTTCTGAACTCCTCCTCTGTTTCCTGTGTTCTCAGTACTTCAATTTATTGTGCTAAGTTTTTCATTTATCATTGATTTCTCAAAGCATCCAGCAGTAAATGTTATGTGCCTGAAATTAATATAATCACGGCTCTGTAAATTTGTCTGTGAATTTCTAAGAAGAATTTATTTATATGACACAGAAGATTGAAACTGAAGGCTTGAAGTGAAAATCTGGTTCAGACATTGAAGTCAGTGGGAGGTTTTCCTTAATTTCAGTGGGACCAACATCTCACACTGTTTTTGTTCCCGTGACAGAGAATTCTGTAAAGACTTCAGGTGAATCACTCTCCTGGCTAGTGTTATCTAGATATAAATAAATAAAAAAGCATTGAGACATAGTTCATGAGAATTGTAAATGTTTCAGCTTCTTTCATGGGATATTGTATGTCAGTTTTAAGGATTCCTCATTACTGAAAGGGGATGTTTTGTCATATCTTTACAGGAGACGTACCGTAGCCTAGAGGACTGCCATGGATCATTTCTGAAGAAAATCAAGCAAACAAATGCTGACCTGAATATTTGCTTTTAAAATGTTACAAGAGGGGAAGTGGTCATCTGGAATATTTTCATATTTGTCACTTCTACTTTGTGTTTTATTGCTAGAAAATTTAGCAATTAGCTTAGTGTTGAATTATTCTATTTAAATAGATTGTGGCATTAAATAATGAGAAGAATATAAAATTACATTCTTAAATTATTGTAAAAAGAATTAATGAATTGCATGCACTGCATTTCTGGTTCATTAGAATTTATGAATACAACCCAACCCTGTAAATATAATGTGTAAATTACACATTATAGTGTAATTGTACTTTTGGGGAAATAAAATGTTGCTTTTTAAATAGCATTTTAATATAGTCTTTCTCTGCAGTCTGTGACCTCTGATGATCCATCCTAATCTTTCACGTAGTGAAAGGAGATAAAAGGAAAGGATAAAAAGGAAAAAGAAAGTTGTACTTCTTTGATGGAAATACTATCTTTAATATATTAATTGTGTATGTGTCTACAGGATTGGGAGCCTGAGCAAACATCCCGCCCTCCCCAAAACTTCCATGAGTTGAGGGGCAAGTGTGCATCCTTCCAGGAGGCTCTTGGCCAGAAAGCACCTGGCTTTGAATGTCTGAAACCATTTTTCAGTGGCAACATAGTTCAAATTAATGGAGGAAAGGAGGAGGAATGTGAATGTAGCAAACATGGTAGACTTTATTCCTCTACTTTTTTCACTGATAACAGCCTCTGAACAGGAAACTCCATAACCACATGCTTTGCATTGATGACCAAGTCTGTGGTAATAAAAGTGAGAGAAAAACTGCTGAAGTATAGTCTACTAATGTGAGTGTGAAATTACAACTGCTGAGGGGAAAGGGAGTTTGCTTTTGAAAAGTTTTTTGGTTCTTTTTCAGAGATCAGTTTCAAAACAGCCTTTGAAAAAGTGCTAGGAAAGAAACGCTTTGCTTCAAATCCTACAAGCCTGAGCACTGCAGTTTAGTAAACCAGTCTGCAGTGGTTTCTTCTGAGCCAGGGGCTCTTGAGTGGTCCCTGACTTCACGGGAATGTCTCATGCTCACCTCTGCTGCAGGGGTGGACTGATCTCCCATGATACGTGTCCATTACTGCCATGGGGGAGTGAAGACACCAGTCCTTAACACTCCTCTAAGAAGTCATATTTCTGGCTGTTCTCAGCAGTGTTTCTTCCCCCAGACCAACTACGCAGCCTTATAGTCCTTTCAAGTTGCATCTCACAGAACCACAGAGGCTGGGGAAGGAGAGCTATTAGCTGGCGGTGTTCTTCCCGAGGCAAAGTTGTTCCCGCTCGGCTTTCCGTTGATCCTGATTGTCCACCACTCCATGTGATAGACTGTCCCGTAGTCGCAGAATCTCTGTCGTTTAGGATGTCCCTTCTGCCACTCAGCACTCTTCAGTGCAAAGTTTAATTAAGGCCTTTTCTTCTAGATGTTTCCCCCTTGCTCTTCCTGGTGTCTTGAGCCCTCAAAGACTTCAAAGGGTTTCACCTGACTGTCCCAGTGCAAAGCTCTGCTGGCAGGGACCTGCTGGCCTTAACCTCCTGTTTCCCCTTCACTGTGCTGTGGGTGATGTGAGTGGGCACACAGAGTCCCTGCAGCCAGAGCCTGCGCACTGTGGAAGCCTGCACAGGTTCAGCTGCCTGGGAGGAGCTGTACAGAGACGGGTACAGCAGCCCCGCAGCTGCTCAAAGTCATGCTCATGGCCAATGCTCACGCTTGGCAGGCCCCGCTCGTGGGACAGATGAAAAGGGGGAACGTTTTTCTTTGTCCCTTCTCAGAGTGGTGTGGGAGGAGCACCTGCTGCCCTGGAGAGGCTGCCTGGGGAGCATACTCACCTGCAGGCTGCTGCCTCTTTTCTTCCTGGCAGGCCTCTGCAGAGAGCAGTTTTCTCTGGCCCTCTCTTTGTTGTCTTGCTCCTTTGTCTTACTTTTCTCCCCAAAGTAACTTTCCCTGCAAGAGTTGCTGTATGCCACCAACTGCACACCCCACAAATAAACTCTTGGGCGTACGAACCTGTCTCAGCACCCTGTGCGCAACAGCTGCACCCAGTGGCTGAGCTGGTAGTTGGTGTTGTACTTCTAAGTCTTGACACAGAGATCAATACGTGGGGAAGCACATGGACACAGGGGAGAAAAACACACAAAGCTAGGGAGGCTCGCTGTGCACGCCTGGTACTTGTGGGGGCTTCTTCTGACAGATACCCCGAGTCGGCATGACTTGAAGAAGTCCCAGCTCCTGAAAGCAAGTTGCACTTAATTCCTCTGTGCTACAAGCGCTCCTTTGGACACAGCGCAATGCCTGAATGAACAAGTGCCCCGTTCTGAGGGTGCTGGAAAAAGTGCCCAGAAGCACCTGCCCTTCTGGAGAGAGCAGCTCTGTTTTCACAACAGTGATCATAATCCTAGTGCACGTTCAGGCTCCTGCTGGTGGTGCTGTTGGGAGCCAAAGGATTTTGCTGGGGGCCCGGACGGGTCTTCGCCACAAACAGAGCTGGGCTCTGGCCCTCTGCATCGCTGTTCAGCACTTTGCTTCCACAGCCACCAAGGGGTCATCGTATGTGCATGTGCATGCATATGTGTTTAAGTGTGTGTGTGTGTGTGTGTGTGTGTGTGCGCGTGCTCTCACTTGTGTGGTGTTTGCTCTTTGAAACTCAGTGGATGACAGAGGAATGACATGGCAGGGAAACATCATCTGCTGATCCCTTGGCAGAGACCCTGGCGTGAATGGGTCTCCTATGTAACATGTGAGATCAGGTCTGTGTGTGTGTGTGTGTGTGTGTGTGTGTGTGTTGCACACGCATGTGCACAGCCCAGCAGGTCTCTATTTGGGAAGAGATTTAGCAACAGAAAACACCTGGTTCTTGTTCTTGTGCTGGGTCCCACAAAAGCTTTGTGCCTCAGAGAAATGATGCCTGCGGCGTTGATGGCCAGCAGAGTGCAGTGTCGGTGAGGAAACCCTGCATTTGGCCGTGTTCAGTCTAATCAGTTGTCCCTGAGGGACTCTCCGGCAGTTGATCTTCAATCCTAGTGTTCAGTCACCCCGGAGAGGCGTTTCTGATCATGTTAGCTAGCAAAGTGGTCAATAGCTCAAGGACCATCTCCTGAGCTGCTGTGTGTAAGCACTGCAACTGCCATGGATCTGCACATGCCAAGAGGTTTCACAGTGACTGTTCAGGAGCTGTATCTTGAAGGGCTTGTACGCTCTGGAGAAGAGCTGTGTCTGTATCTTGGCCATGCCCCCAGCCCTGAGTGGAGAGAGCTGCTTGCAAAAGCCTCCAGGCCCATGGTCCAGAGGCAGAGAAAGGCAGCAGGATCCTTGGGTGGAAGCAACGTGGCCTTTAGGCCTCTAATCCCCAGAGTCATAGATTTCCAAGCCCAGAAGTGCCACGGTGCTCTTCTGCATAGCACCTCCCTGGAAAGCAAAGGTGCAATTCTTCTAGCTCCAGGGGCTCTTCTGCAGAGCTGCCAGGCTTGGCTGTTTTCTGCCCAAGGCCCAGCCAGATGTTAGCTGTTTCAAAACTTTACTATAAGTACCTAACCTAACTAACAGCTAAACATTTGCGAGTGCTCCCTACGGGTCTCCTTGAGGAGAAAGTTAGTGCTTAAAGTAGGTGGCTACCTAGCAGGGCTTGGGGTACAAGTGGTGTTGGGGTTAGCGCCTAGAGCTCTGCTCTTGGGAAAGCAGTCAGAAGTAAACTTAATGAGTTTAAAGTGACTGTAAACTAAATGAGTTGAATGTAATAATGTGCAACAGAATGAGACTGCTCTCTACATAGGTACAGACTAATGATTGGTACCTGATCCAGCAAGTTCAGATCTGTTGCTTTGTGGCCCTCCCGTGTCCAGCCCTCATGTACAGCACAACTTTGGAAGTGCAGGCTAGGAGATCCTCCAACCTTTAATCAATTGGGTTTAACTTGAGATCCTACATCCCAGTCTGTGCTGTCTTTCATGGAGGGTTAAGAAACGCAGGTGGACTTTCTACCTGGTTTCCGTTATGTTCCCATGAGGGGTAATGTCCAAACCTTTACATACCTCAAAGGGAGCAGAGTAAGGCACTGCAGTGAGAATTGTCCCCTTCAGACATATCAATTTTTGCTGATGTGATGTATCCCCTGATGATTCAGGGGAGAATCCACCTTATCAACTGTGATTGTTCTGAATCCTGAAATGTGACGGCTTTATGAAGGTAGTTTGTTCTCTGATTTGTGGAAATTTTGCTGCCATTAAGTGTAATGGAGAATTTTCTATTCTATAGGTATTCTATAGGACTATAGGTACAGAAGCTTTCTGTAGGCAGCACTTCTGGATGTTTGCCCCGAGATCACAATATTTCATGACTGATGGGACATTATGGCATGGAAACAACCTTCTGGTGATAAAAAAGGCATTTTTATTCAAAATGTCTTGAATGGGGAAGGCTCACAGACAAAGAAAATGCTCTCTCCGTATGGCTTTGTGAGCCTTCTCTGTTGCATCATATCATAGTTAAGCCAAGACTGGCTTGGGCCATAGGACTGGGAGGTCTCTGGGAGAGATATGCAACTACCTTTTCAGATGATAAGCAACTTGATAAGCAGCTTTTAACATCTTTGCACACTGGAGCTAGGATGCAGGCTTTTGGCCACCTTTTCTAGCACCTTCAGAAACCAGACACAAAGTAAATTTTGGCATTAAACTATGTCAAAAGGGCCACTTGTAGCGTACAGAAAATAGGTACAACTATTTTCAGGAGCTGGTGCATTTTCTGGCTGATACGCAGAGTGGGCATGAGTAGAAAAAGCCCAAAACAGTAGCATGTATGCACAGCGAAGCTTTCTACCTTTCTACGCATTATTAAAAGCAGTTGGTTACAATCTCACTGTGTCCATGTGGTTTCCATCTACTGAATTCTGTGTAAAGAGTCAAAGCATTACACCAACAACCAGCTTAGCCCCATGTTTACTTCAGCATCCACTTGAGAAGTGGTAAAGACACCAAGACTTACTGCCTGTCCCTGATTCAGTCGGGAATCCTCTTTATACTGATGGACCAAACTGGAGTCTCTACATCTCTCCATTGCACAGTGACAGACTGAGAACATTTTGCTGAGACTAACACTCATGGCTGGTTTGATGCTGGTGGGAAACGTGGGTTTCAAAGAGCTGGAAGGAAAATGGATAAAAAGAACACAGGTGAAAGTTTTTTCTGGCTTGTTTATATGTATATGTTAAACACATACCTCACCTTATCCATCTTCAGTGGGTACAGCCTTGGTAACCCACAGAAGCTGTATTGCATGAAATGATAGCAGTATAAGGCTATCTACAAG